TCTCTGAAGATGCCGGCCATAGAGACTTGCAAAACGTTAGAAAGAACAACCTTCAGAACACAGCCAAAGATCCTGAAAAATCCACAACAACCATTAGATCCCGGCCGTGAAAGCAAAGCTTTTCTACATATGTTATATAGATTATCTTCCTTATCATTCAACACACTTATACAATAAGTTTGTATTATTTTCCATATGGCAAAAGGGATTGAAGCTTAAAACACAAAACCACTATACTAGTTTATGGCTGAAGTGTCATTTGAACTTCGTGGATCGCAGCTTACATCTTGCATCATCAAGCAACCACAGACTGCGCTCAGGAACTCTATGAATGAATGCCCTTAACTTTTAATGGTGTAAGCTGCCTCGGTCCTTTTTAAGGAGAAAGGCAGCATAAAAATATTTAAATAAAAATAAAAATAAAATAAATACAAAGTCAACTTCCTGAGGCATTCAACTGACACTGCAGGAAACTGATGTTAAATTCTGAGCAACTACATGAAATGAAGACTGATGGTAAAGTAAGTTAATATGCACAATACTCAAAATCCTCTTGGCAATTTGTGCTTGCATTAGAGAAACCGTATAAGCTTTGGTGGCAAACCACCATTACTTAACAAGGTGTTGATTGTGTTCTTCAGTACTGTATACATCTAATCGTGGAAAACTTAATGTGATCTCCCTTATGCAAGCATAAATCTTTACCAGGACTCAGGACTTCCGGCTTGACGTCGTGACGATACAGTCCAGGGAGAAAGAGCTCTGCTCCCCAAGACTGCTTTTCAGCCTGCTAGGGAGCCCCAAGGGGATTAAGTCACCCTGGAGAGGTGACGAGCAAGGGGGAGATACCTGTAGATTTATTTATTTATTTATTTACAGTGGTGCCTCGCATAACGTTTTTAATTGGTTCCAAAAAAAAAACCTTATGCGAAAAAAACCAGCAGGAGGAAAACAAACCGCTTGCCTGCTAGTGGTTTGTCCAAGTCATCGGCTGCCGAAGAAAAACAGCGCTAAGTTTTGGATATTTTACATGGTGTGATCAACCTGGGTGAGACTATTTTTCTTCCCCTTTTTACTAACTCTATCAACATTCCTGACTAAAATAACTCCTTAAAAGAAAGAAAGATTCTAAGCCGTCCCCTAGCTGGTGAAAGGAAGCGGCGACAGAAGAGAGGAGCGGTCCGCTTCTCTGAAGGGGAGGCTAAGAAGACACGGCAAGTCTATCCTATTGAACATTAATCTGTATTTGTTAGAAACTCTTCGAAAGCAATAGAGGGGAAATAACGGGTGTTTTTTTGGACCTAATATTACAAATGGAGATCGGGGAATCATCTTTCCAGGCATTAAAGAGTGGACGCAAACTCTGAAACTTTGTTGTGACTAAACAGTGGAACTGGCGATGAGCCCAGATGAAGAGCAACAGTTATCGCTTATGATGACCTTGGCTTAGCTAAAACTTTTAAAGCCTGTTTTTTTTTCTGTTTTCCTTTTGGACCTGCAGCTTGGATTAATTACAGATGATTACAGACAATTAACTCTCGGATTACAAATAATAAACCTGATGGCTTTCAGATCGAGCTGGATTTACAATTAAAAACTCTAGGTCATCTGGTCAGTTTTGGATATATATGTCGAGAACTGGACAGTGGGAATAATCCTTGAAACTTTGTTATATCAAATTGTAAAATTTTAAGCTAATAGTTTGCTTAGAATATAGAGCTGTGATGATCAGATATTACTGATGACCACTGAATATAAGGGATTGCTGATATAATGATATATTGACAATATTTGAATACCTAAAGGGTGGAAAAGATAGTGTAGTGGATCAATAGAACTTTGGAGGGTTGGTCTGATATTTGGGGGACAATGTTCATAATGAGTCTACCAAATTTATCTAAAACTGTTAAAAAACAGCCTCTGCACCATCATCTGGGCCTCCCAGTCCAGGAAAGCAAAGGTCTATTGATACAATGATATTTCAAGAAAAATTTCAGAAAGATTTACAAGCAACACTCCAAGCGATTCAAGATACAGTTGTATCACACAAAGAGGAGACAAAGAAAAATCAAGAAGAAGCAAGAAGAAACCATGAAGAAGCCAAGCTCAATCAACAGAAACTGAAGAGAAAATGGATAAAATCAAATCTTTACCAGGACTCTGGCCACTCTTGAGGCAGAAACAAAATAGTTGGGGCAGTACCCTGTTGACTTCACTAGCAATAGCTCTGCCAGACTCTTCAGCACTCACCTGTCCATGAGAAGGAGCTTAGGTTTGCATTAGGAAGTACAGGATCTTAAAGGTACTTGTGAAAATTCATTAAATGTCACCTGGCTCAGGCAAGGGTCAACTGTGCAAATGAAACAGTATTTTGCCTTTGTTTTTCAAAAACAAATTCATTTTACATAGAGCTTTAATGGAACTAGTAAACAAATATAAAATGGCTTATTTTGGAATTCAGTTTCTAATAATGCTCATTCACTACTAGTGCTGGGCTAAAGGTTACTCAATAGGTATTCTATAGTTGTTTACAAAGACACATGGGAAAAGCAGGTCATAGAAATATGGCCCAAATAGGGCTCTACCTCTTTACATAGCTATTGTTGCAATAAGTATCATATGCAGTCACTAATACTGATATTTTTATTTGGGAAGTGATCACTCATATAATACATTCGTTATTTTTAAAATAAATAACATTTAGGGGGGAAAGCAAAATTTCAAGCTGTAATGCTCCCTGAGGTGAACCTGTTCCTTTGTTCCCTACCTGTTTATTGCACCTTTCCTCTCTTTTCTTCACCTTTGAGTGAAGATATGGAAGTGATTGCTTTCCTCTGAAAAAGAGGGTCCTATTCTTGATCTATGTTCTCCCAAGAGGCAGAAATGGCAAGGATTGCTTTTGCACAACCTAGTTATAACTTTTCTTGAGTCTGTCTGCCTTGGCAATCATCATCCATTTCTCCTGGGTGGTGACATCAGTGGTGGACTATAATCTTTAAATTTAAACTTTCCTGTTCTCTCTGCCTCCAGGTTTCAAAGCTTTCCT